TGCATTTTTTGGGGCCATCTTCTGTGTAGTAGAAGGCCTATCCTCTGATGTGTCAACTATATAATGATTCATAGACCCTCTAGCACTCCTAGATGAAATGGGTTTCATAAAAGAAGATGAATCCCTAACGCTGCACTTACTCCCGTAGTAAGATCCAACATCAACTATGTCCTCAAATTGCTTCTGTGCAAGATGTTTTGATGTGGTAGACTTATTCATGTATGACTTTATCTCATCCCTTACAGTATCAGGAACTTTGGAGCATGGAGCAAAATTTTTGTAAGAACCTGAAAGGTGTTCCTTCATCCTAGTCACACTACCTTTCATAACTTTATCACAGTAATTGTATTTTAAATAGACATGTTTTATCACTGCCTCCTACATCCACCTGAGTGCTATGTTTCCATACTGGATCTTTTCTATGACCTGATGCAGCTTTATCCTTATTTCTTACCATTCTGATTGAGCAAAAATAGAAAGAGAACGAGTTCTTACTAATCTTTTCTATGACCTGATGCAGGTCGGAGGAGACAGCAGCCTCGAACAGAAGCGGCCGCCGGTCGGACAGAGAAGATAGCAACCAAACTCACAGTAGAAGAAATCTCTAAGCAAAAGGTTAAGAGAGCAACTCTCATTTAGGGTTTAGTGTCACGACCCAACCCGACCGGGATGGATCCCGCTCGCATCGGGTCGCAACACAACCATTGAAAATCCAGGATCTACCTTTGGAATTTGTTTCAGACTTTCTTCCAAATATTAAATATACAGAAAAACACAGAGCTATTATAAACATACAAATACATAACAGTTCATCTATCTTTTCTTTCATCAAAACAATCATATACAATACAATCCATGGCTTCAGACAGAAATAACAGAACAGAACAGAAAAATCATGACTGTACAAAAACCAAAAGTACAAAAATACCTAATCTCAAATCAGACAGAACTTTTAGTCCAAGACCTCATTTCCTTTCCCAGAACTTGAAAACCATATAAAAAACAAAGATGAGATAACAGCTCAGCAAGACATCACTCACCAATCAAAATAGTCAGAAATTCATATCAGAAAATACATCAGAAAATAGTCATACGAAAATCGTAGAACAGACAGAACAGATACTTGATCAACAGAAATCAAACAACTGATACAAAAAACTGAAGTCATTTCAAATCAGAGTTCATAACAGATATCATAAAGCTTTCATGTCCCAGAGCAGACAGAATCGTACGGAATAACCAGAATCGTACGAAAATCAGAAATCAGATAAAATCACATTCATATCAGACAATTCGTATCAGATTCCCCGACCCTGACATAATCTCAACGGATTCTGGCCCTTAGGCCTCCCTTCACAGACACTGACAGAATCTCAACGGATTCTGGCCTCTTATGCCTCCCTTTGTGCTTATAGCACCAGAACATAACAGAACAGATATTCGGAATTCCGGAACATAACTTATTTTCAAATTTCAGAGCTCATTTCAAATTTCCCTGACACAGACATAATCTCAAAGGATCCTGGCCCCTTATAACTCCCTTCTGATAGCATACAAACACTTCAATTCATTTAATGTATCAATTCAGAAAAATCAGAATTCATACAAAAAATCAGCGGCGTAACGGCAGTATACGGAATTTACACAAAATTCACAGATTCAGAAATTTACCAAATTATCACAGAATATTCACAACAACATTATAAAACTTTCATTGTACTGACATAATATTTTTCAACATCCTGATAACTTGCAATTCAATTAAAACGTCACAGAATTCAAAATATCTGGTAAAAATCTTCCAGAAAATACTCAAAACGTGCACAATTATCATCTCAGAAACATATCAAAAGTTACGCAGTAAAACATTTATCAGTGCGAAATAAAATCAATTATTCGCTAACGGAAATAAAAATCGAGACAGAAAAGTCGTCAAAATTCTCATTTCTGAAAATTGAGAAAGGCCGAATGTGTCATACCTTGAGTCGATCAACTTTTTCAACTACGATGACGGACGAAAACGAGTCGAAGTCGCCCAAAAATTCACTTTTCTTCTTGTCCCTTCGTTTTTCTCTCTCCTGAACTTTCTCTCTCTTCAAAAACGACACAATTTAGATATTTATTAAGCAGGATCGTCCCGGACGATGTCCCGATCGTCTCGAGACGATCTTCTCTGAACTCAAATCGTCCGGACGAAAATAAATTCCAATTTCTTCATCCCTGGACGAAACTCTCTATTTGGTTCGTTCTGACGGTTCGTTCTGACCCTTCCAGGTTCGTACAGACGAAATTGACAGATTCTTCACAATTTTCTTCAGTTCGTCCGGGACTAACAGCACTCAAAAAAATAGCTTTGGAGGGGTTTTACATTTAGTATGCGTACTGGATGTGTTCAGTATTATATAATGTCGAGCCGTCGATAAATTTTCTGGATGTATTTAGTTTCATATTGTGAGTATTTTATGCGTTTATATTGCATATTTAAGGTGTATATACTGCGTGTGTAAGACGTAATCTATGCGTATTTTCTACGTATTTTGTAAAACTTCTTCTAAAGTATTTGTAAATTAGCAGTTGGAGCAGCTGTAACTTAATGTATGATTTTGTATTAATATTTAATAAAACATATGATTTTCTGGTTATAGTAAGTGTACTGGATGTGTTCAATATTATATTGTGCGTAATCTATGCGTATGATGTGCGTAATATATGGGTATACAATGCGCACACCATGCGTATGATGTGCATACTCTCTGCATGAACATTGCGTATTTTGAAAAATAAAAAATAATTAAAAGAACATTTAATAGAATTTGATAAACACAATTTTAATGACTATGTACAATATAAAAAACACAAGAATAAATTAAAAGAACATTTATAACAAATACAATTTTACAAGAGAACCTATGTACATTATATTAAAAATATTAAATCAAAATAATTACAAGAGAAGCTTGTTTTAATGTTTAGACATGATTGTCAATCAGAAGTAATGCAGGCTTAATAGAAGGTAAGATTTTTTACTTAAGAGTTAAGAGCGAAATTTAAGGCTGTTGGTAGATTGTGATTCATTTGAGACTAAGGATTACCTAATTTTGAAATTTACTTATTTATCCTCGTCCTCAAAAGAATCATAATCTAACAGCAACCTTAGACTAAGCTCTGAAGTAAAAAATCAAACCTTCTGTCAAGCCTTCATTACTTCTGTTTGAAAAAATCATGCGTTACCATAAGGCAAGCGTTCCCGCATTATATAGTGAAAATTTTAATGTTGAACAATAGTGAGCAATAAATTATAAATAATGGCTCATAAAAATTCAACCAACCCTCCCAATCATATCTGTCACCCATCAGTCCACAGCTAACGAAAATTATTATTCATATCACGGCCCCTCAGTCTATACAAAATGTAAGTAACCTAAAACATTTAATAGAATGTGTGCGTGTGTTATACGTACTCTATACGTCTTATGTGCATGTATTATGCGAACTCTATGCGTTTTTTGTGCGTGCTTCTAATGTGTAATAACAAATTTAAGTTCAACGTGTTAAACATATTCCTCATCATTTTAATGTAAGTATTTGTAAAAACAATGATAGATATTAATTAAAACATTTAATAGAATTTGATAAATAAAATTAACTGCGTAATGTGTGCGTGTATTATGCATCTTTTGTGCGTTCGTTATGCGTATTATTTAAAAACGTCTAAATAATAATTTTATTTTTATTTTATATTTTTTTGTTAAAACAAATAAGAAATTCAAACACTAATCTTTAAACGCAGATGTCAAACACAAAATTTTTCAAACATCATATTCCTTATTTCTCTTCCTTAAATTCAATCCACCAAGAGCCATAAACCCTTTGTACTTGTTCAAATATCATGCTTTAAAATTCTAAATAACATCTTCACTAAATTGCGCAATAAAAGGCGCAATCTTCACTAAATGTTTTACGCAATCTTCACTAAATGTTTTGCAATGGTCCGATTAAAGTTCTTGGAGTCTAGTCTAATCTTGTCACAAAAAAGAACCTAAGGCTAGGATTTTTTAGTTTAATTCATGCATATAACTATATAAGATACTCAAGAGTTATCTTTTGGACCTATATAATAGGGGCCTAAGGCTTAAATTCAAGTAAATTCATTTCATGCCATCCAAAGTGATTTGAAGTTTCTTTAAGCTGCTATTATCCAATCCATAGTGACATATATATGTTTGGCATCTTTTTGTAATCCTCATATTATTTGTGAAATTTAAAGTTATTTTGGTAATTTGGTGCACTCCTTCCATGTGAGGGAGTAAATCTTAAGACCGGTGAGAACTTATTCTGTTATTCACCACATGTTATATAAGACTCAAAATAGTCGTATTGACTACTTTGACAGTGTTCATGATCTATCCGACTAGGTAGTCGTTAAATATGATGTGCACGGGTCTTCTCCCTCCTACTTCTTTCTTCACATTAAAGGCATAGGCACCGTTTCATGGATTTAGTAAAAAAAAGTTAATAATTCTTATATATTTACACGAAGAACATGCACAGCCAGTTTCTAAAATCCCTGGTCGTTGTGAACAAATTGAATACCCATCATCTTGAGTATGGCGGGTATTGACAAACTATTTCTTCTTTCAAACACCTTATATACGCCGAAAATTCCCTAACAAGATGTGAAATTGAAAAAAAAAATGCATTACTTCCTTCGAAATTCCAGAAAGAAAGATAATCAATCCTGTCAAGCTGCAAAAATGTGAAAAAAAAAAAGCGCATTTACTGAAAAACCAGATCATAATCTTTGATGTCAACCAAAGAAAGAGAACCCACCTGAGGCGCGAAGAGGAAAGGAGATCTAAACCTAAGAGGGCTCAGCGGTGGCGTCTCCGCCATTGAGTCCACCGAGGACAACTGCCCTACCCCGGCAAACCTCGACGCATCGCCGTCCGTCCTCGCCGCCGGAAAGCCACCGTTGCCGTTCTCCAGCTCCGCCTTCCCGCTCGCGTTTCCCATACCGCCAACCTGATCTGCAGCCATGGAAAAGGAAACCTTCATGTAAATCAGGGGGAACTAGCATCCATACCAAACAATTATTCCACGGTACAATGGAAATCTAACCGTAATCCGCTGAATGAAGACTTAACTACGCCGCCGGCCAATACAAGAACTCTCGGTGTAAACGCACAATGGAAATGCCATGGGCGCCTTATGCTAGTTCACGGCTACTGTAACACCATGGGGAGAGACACAGATACAGAACCATCTTCCACCCTTCAAGCGCACGGAAGAGGAATAGAAGGAAGACCAGCATGTCGTACCTCCTAGTACGGATTAAATAACTTGGAGGGTAAATTTAAAAAAAAAAAAGTGGATTAAATTTACTTAATTTTCATAAATTATTAATTTCGGATAACATTTCATGAGAACTTAATTTTTTTTAATACACAATAAATAGATATTGAAAGACAATTTAATTCATTAGTTGAGCAATTAAGCTTTCAATAAAAGAAAAATTATAACGTACGGTATTCAGAGGCATCTGAAGATTAATCTGGACGCTTCATGTCATCTTATGTACAGTGCATTCGATGATATGACGTGTCTGAATTTACCTCCATATGCGTTCAAACACCGTACAGAATAATATTTCTCAATAAAGAAATTTTGAATTCTAGGTTCTATATAGCTATCATGTGAATAAATTTTATTATAGGCTAAAAAATTGTAAAATAAAAGAGTTTTTATACTAATTTAATTTTAAAAGCTTCTCGTTCTCTTTTTCTTTTTCTTTTTTTTAATTTTAGAGCCAAAGCCCAAATTCATTTTATAAATAGCATAATTACAACATAAAAAATATATGAAGAGTTGTATAAAAGAAATTTAAATTTTTAATAAAAAAATTGGACTTATAATAGAAAAAAATCTAATAATTATGATAATATCAGTAATAAAATGTAGGTGCATCTAACTTTGTCTTTGATTAAATTGATTTTTTATGATATATCAATTTCATAATTAAAAAATAAATAAACAATGTATATTAATCATAGGCTTAAAACTATTAAAATACATTAAAAATACAAATTTATGTATATATGGAGGAAAAAAAAAGGTAAATATGAGTTTTTACTTTTGTAGCACTTATTTGAAGGGCTAATTAATGACTGAAATTGGAAGAGCTGCCCTAATTGAACTTGGGATGTTAGGGGTGATAATGTCTTTTTAGAGTGGCAAATGGAAGAGAGGACGATAAGAACGTGCCGCCGAGGCAGAGTGGGGTCATCCTTATCCATTTCTTCAAGCTGTCCTTATTTGATCCTTATTTGATCCTTGTACTAAATATTTATTATTGCAAATATCTGATCGGCGCATCGCTGTCGCTTATAAACTTTGCAAGGCTCATCTTTACCAAACTGATAGACCATACTAAAACTATAAACAATATGATGAATAAAAAATAAAGTAGAACAGAGCGTGGCTGATTAAAGTTTAATTTGTGACGATTTTTTTATTGTTTTTTTAAACAATTTTTATATGGAAATAATTATTATTATACTAAAATATTATTTTAAAAATAATAAAAAACTGTCCAAAATTAAGCTTAAGATTCAACTCCCTTTTTGTAAAAAATTTCTTAATATTTTGTTTTTTAAATTGTAATTATAATTGTATTTAGTCATAATTTTTTATAAATTAAAAAATTATATTCTTAGGAAACTACTGAGCCATTCTTTCCGGTTGGACATAGGGATGTAAACAAGTCCAGTCCAGTCCAGTCGAGTTTTGCCACTATCGAGCTCAGCTCGTCCAGTCCAGTCGAGTTTTGACACTATCGAGCTCAGCTCGTCAGCCGGAAAGCGAGCTCGAGTTGAGCTCGAAAGGCGAGCTCGAACTCAAGCTCGTCCCACTATTATCGAGTTCGAGCCGGCTCGCGATCCTCGGCGGTCCGGGCAGCCTTCGAGCAAGTCGTCCTCATCCGCGTCATCCCGTTGAGCTTGCCATCGGAGAAGACATTGAAAATAAAATATATTTTTTTCATATAGGGAGAAGAGAAGAGCTTGCTGCAGCTTTTTACCTTTCCCCAAAAAAGTAAAAGTAAGCTGCAGCTTTTTACCGCCTTCGGTCATTTATATATTTTTTTAATTCAAATAATCAATCGAGCTTGGCTCGCGAGCTCTCACCGAGCTCGAACTCGAGCTCGTTTAGCAAACGAGCTCTCGTTTAAGCTCGAGCTCGAGCTCGCGGCTTGATAAGCTCGGCTCGCGAGCTCGTTATCGAGTCGAGTTCGAGCCGGCTCACGAGACGGCTTGGCTCACTTACACCCCTAGTTTGACATTCCTCCCCAGCCGCACTAGGTATAAATGAAAACTTCTTTTTGACAGATTTTTTAGCTACGTGGCAAGTATAGTTTCACACTTAATGGTTGAACTCTATATTTGAAATATATGTTTGAAGTATATAGAGTTCCAATAAGATTTGAACAATAAATATGTGGTTCAAACCTTAGTTAATTTGAATATTTTATCTCTTTATAATTATAACCTAGGACTATTGAATTATTATAAAGGATGAGGGTTGCATTATAACCTAAATAATGAAAGTGAATTGAATGTTAGCGAAGAGATCACGGTTTAGGGGTAGTGGAGGGATTGCGAAAATTTTATGAGAAATCAGTCACTCTAATTTTGAGAGCGCCATAAACATAAAAGGTGCTTAAAAAAATAAATTCAATAATTCAAATATTCATATGGCCATCAGATACGATAACTCATATTTTAATAGCATGAACATTTATATTGGAATTGGAGCAAATGATTTGTTGATCATAGCTTATTCTCTTTACTCATATTTATAGGATTAGAAAGAAGTTTAGCTGTATAGGAAGAGTTACAACTAAGCAATAGAAGTAATATTACATAGCAAGTGTTAAATAACATGGAACCATAACATAAAGATGACAAGTCAAATTATAAGTAAGGATGAACTCTTGTGAAGTTGCCTATTGACTTCATTTTGACTCGTCGAGCTCTGGCAAATAGCTTTGATGTTTGGGCGAGTTGCATTGATAATATTGACAAATTAGCTTTGGCAAATTGGACAACTTTACTTGATTGGGCCCCAAGTCAAGAGCACTTGGTTGGGCAAATTTGATGGCAAATTCATTATATTCCCAATTATTTTGTCGATTTGATCTTCTTGACTTGATGGATCCATGCACTTCGCACGTGGAGCTGGATCAGCTTGACCTAAACCCAATCGAGGTCAATCTTAGCTTAGAGTTTATGTTGAGGTTTAAAGTTCAATGCATTGGAGAGTTGCAAAAGATTTGGATGTAGATATACTCATGAAGTGAGAGAGATGTATGAGGAAGCGAGACAAAAATGAAGGGAAGAGGAAAGGAAAGTAAAGCAATAACAAAACATTTTTTAAGGGTTTTCCACGTAAAAAATCTTGTGTTCTCTGTGTGTGCTAGTTATACGTTCAACGCTAAGACGTAGAATCAAATCTCTATCGCCGCGTAATTTCTAGTCCGCAACAATTATTATTAATTGTTATTGATTTTTTACTTAAGTAATACATTAATAATTTTGTTAGTCAATTAAAATATTTATTTGTATTTTATAAAATAGGAAATTATGTTATAAATAAATTTATTATTCAATTAATATATTTTTTAGATTAGTTGACAGATTATGTAAATTTGAAATTAATTTAAGTTCAGTATATATAAAAACCACTCACTCTTAATTTAGGCCTCCGAATAATTGTAGTATTATATAAATTGAGAGTTGTTTAATAATTAATTATATATGTTAGAATTATTTGTAAAGTATTTTGTTCAATTGAAATTTCTTTATGGATAAATATCTAAATCAAGTTTAAGCTAAAGTAAGGCATTCAAATAATTTAAGTAATAAATCATATCTTAATTAAATTTAGATAATTACTAAAATTTAAAATTAATTTACGGATTAGTAATTTAATAAGACAAAGAAAAACAGTTTGGCATAACATTTAACTTGATTAATCGAAATGATAATACCATTAATTAACATCAAGCTAGTGCAATATAATTAAATTGTAATATTTAGTATGTTTTCCAAATTTATAAAGGGAAATTTACATGCATACCACTTTTTTCATGCTATTTACATATCTAACACCTAAAACAATAATATTGCATGCCTACCACCCATATACAACTTTAATATCAAATATATAACTCCTATAATTCATTTTTACCATTCATACAATCCTATAAACTTTAATATTACATTCCATGCACCCAAATTTATTCTATGGGTGGTAGTCATCTAATATTAATATTTTAGGTGTTAGATATGTAAATAGCATGAAATAAGGTGGTATGTATGTAAAACCCTCATTTATAAAAGATGTTTCAAAAGTATGTGAGGTAAGTATTATGATTTTTATAAACAGTTAATTTGAATATTTGTTTAAACTTATTCTTTTTAGCATAGGATCCTCTATTTATTTTATGTAAGTTCAGTAAAGTCATTTATTAAATGTTGGGACTGTTAGCATTGGTTTACTAGCAAAATTATTATTTAATACATAGAATCATGTATGATTTGTTTCATTGGCCATTAATTTGATATTATTGTTTGTAGCATTCTATCACGTTACATGAGTTGTAAAGCTGTAATATCTAATCAGCTCTTAATGTAATATATTAAATGTAGTTGCATAAATTAATTATTTGTTTGAGTGTCGATGTGTATTTCCTTGCAATATGTGTATATAACTATATAAGTGCTTCATATGGTAGGGGAGTTGAACATTGAGTGCAGTTGTTTGTTTTGCCTATTAGTTGAGTTCTTATTTTTATTATACTTTTAAGTGTAATGTATTGGCCGTGTTTAGAGAAGTCATTAGTTATCTCCATAAAAGACTTGTTTGATGGTGCAAGCAAACAATTGCAGGATTATGTTGCTAGATATTCTGATACTCCACTTGAGCTAAAGGCGCAAGTAAATAAATTTTTTAGGTGTTACATGCATGGAGAGAAGATAGGGAATGTTTGCTTGCATTTTGCATGATAAAGTTAGGAGTATATATGTGAATATATTAGGAGATTCTTAAACGGTATGGGTTGGATATATCTAGAGTAAAAGTTCTTCGAGCATGATTTTCATGTGGTTTGTCTGCACTTTCTTCAAATGCGTTACCACGAGTTAAGAGATAAAAGACAAGGTAGACATTTTGATGAAGTTAAAAATCAAGTAACCACTTGACCTTGAGCATGTTATTCTTTATCATATTTGAATTTCAGGTGAGGAAGGTTTCA